TTTAATAATTAATAAAATAAATAACTAGATACATTTAGAATTTATGCTAAATTTTTGATGACTATAGATGTTATGCACCATATCATTTTGATCGCTTTTTTTAAACACGTCTGGTGTCTAGTAAAATTTTTAATACACTTTAAAAAATTTAAGGAACATGCAAGTTAATGAGAAAATTTTGGCTATACGTGTTAGCTCTACCAGTTCTCATAGTTCCGGACCTCAAAAGAGGAAAAAAATAACATTACGCGTTCAACTCCGCGTTTAATTTTGCCTAACTCTCAGCAAGAAGTTTCTCAAGCCCTTCTAATTGCAACAAAATATTTTTTAAGTCCAACTTCAACAACAACGAAATATTCTTCCTCAATTTCAACAGCAACGAAATATTTTGTAAAAAAAAATGAAAGCCGATCAATAAGCCGATCAACGTACTCAATTTTTGAAAATAGAATTTCAGATTTACCAGAAATTTTGCCGATAAGTTTTCCATTTAAAAAATTTCCGGTTAAATTTTTTTTTAAAAAAAAAATAAACATGATTTTCAAAATATTATATTTATTTTATTTATACCACACGAAAAGTTTTTTTTTTTTTGAGAAGGAAAATGTTTCATTTACTTCTTCTGTTAGAAGTTGTTTAGAAGATAATTCATTATCATTTTCAGATAAAGATTTATCTTCAGTAGGCTTATCTATTTTATTACTAGCTGTTTTATAGTAACGAAGAATACGTCATTTTTTAAAAAAATTTTTTCAGATTATCAATGTATCGGTATTACGATTTACAAATAAATCATGATTTTTCGATTAACGAATTGTCGCAGACACGACTCCTTAAAAAAATCTGCTTCATGAAGAATTAAAATTTTGTATTTCTCGATCTTTACTTAGCGCAGCGAATTTTCACATTAAACTAATGATTCACTACTTTCGTTTCTTTGATTTCTAATGTCTTTAAGGGTCTGGTATGCTAAATTGTTAGTGCCTTACATTTTTAAATTCGATAATGAATTTTATTTAGTTGGGCTGGTTTATTTTCTCGTTTTCTAGTTCAGTTTCTAACAAACATGATTTATTAAGTAAAACTTGCTCTAAAACCAAGAGACGATAATAAAACTTTAATTAAAAAATTTTTTTTTTGTTTATTTTCTTTTAGAACGATCAAAAAAGAGATAAAATAAATGAAGATACCACCGGGAAAAATGATGAATTAATCTATCCTTAATTTCACCAGGTATTAATAAGTTATTGATATTAAACACCGTTACAAGACTTTTATGCATAGCAAGTTTGAAACTGAAATTTTCTTTTTCTTAAAAATTTTTTTCAATCATGTTCTAGTGACGCAATAGCTTATAAGTAAAAAAAAAAATCTCTCAAACTTTAAACTTTGCAATTATAAAATAACGGAGCGTGTGAACTGGAAAATTCAAATATTGTACCACCGGATCATACATATATTAATTGAATTGCTTGAGGATAAAATATTGATCATTTTCGTAATTGAATTTATTTTCGCACAAACCCCTTTCCTCAAAATGTCTTCAACTACAACCAATTCAAGCTCTGGCTTGAGTTCAGCGGGTAAGAAATTTCGAAATCAATTTGATAACATATTCCACAAATATCCCAAGTTACCAAAAGAGCTAAAAGGAGATAGGTAAATATGCCTCACGTAGAATATTTTAATATCCGCCCAATGTTACTTAATATGATTATAGTTTGCCCTTACAGATTGAATCGAAAATTTCAGCGAAAAGTTATAACATATTTCTTGACCGAATCGAAAAAACTGGATATAAGTTTCATTGGGACAATGGAAACGTATATATTATAGACATGGCTGACATGGAACATGAGGCTGTAGTAGCAGTTCTTTTTAAATATTTTGATAA